CTTGGCAGCAATTTGGGTGCGCTTCAGTTTACGTGTGCCAGCTGAGGATGTTAGGTTTCAACACTTGAAATGCGCCCAACATCGAAAGTCCAATTTGTTGCGCAGGTGTTACTTTGGATGTAATACTCACTTGTCAACTGAAAATTTTTCGAACTGACAGAACGCTCCACTGGGAAATGATCACTAGGATCCATGACTCAGATCCGATATGAGAGTATAAACGCGCAAATAAGTTGTGTCACATAGCCCTGAGAACTAACAGCACAGTTTCGACCAACCCTACTCCTGTGAGTGAATTAAAGGCACGAATATTTTATTCAAAAATGTTTTTCTCCAAGTCATTTGAGGATCAACACCTACGTGTTTCTCATTTTACTCTCAGGATCTACAGAAGCTTATATATATATAACGTCATTTTGCTCTCGCTCCTAATGACTATGCTAGGACAGAAAAGAACGATTCTCGTACAGGAAGTTCTCGCCTCAACTCACAGCTGTCTTGAGTTCACCTTGATGGAGGCGAACAAACTATTTCGAGCACTGGTTTCTAAGGTCAGACGATGGCGGATATTAGCCAGTCGGCAAAGGCCACGAAAGAAGTTTTCACCAGCAAGCCCATAGAAGCACTATGTGTAGATACGACGGCACTACTCCTTGCAAAACGTTTGTGCAGAAAGAATGAGAAGACCGACGAGCATTTTCGACTATGAATACACTAATTTCCCCAATCTTCACTTTACTGGAACAGCTTCAGTAGTTGCTATTACATCATGTGCTATCTCGATGCCGATGACAATAATGTTCACTCTAGCTGCTTAAATCACTTAGCTAGTTAAACAAGTGATAACAAGGGCCGGACAGGCTACAATCTGGGGAATGCATAGTTGAAACTGAGACGGGTTATTCAACTGATTCACCCAAGTTCATCGCTACTGAATGAAAGAGCTGTATTTCACCACTGGGAATACGGAGCTATTCAATTGACTTGGTGTATGACACTATCAATTTATGGACGATTTCTAAGTAGCGAAGGTGGAAGAATGATTTACAAGTCACAACCATGTTTCAGCCCAAAACTCTTCACTCATGAAGCCGGTGGAGATGTAACCACCTCATATGCACACAGTAATAGATTGATGAGTGGCCTGTGAGTCTACATCCCTCTGAAGATGCGTGAAACGTACATTTTTCATAGTTCCCAATAGGGATGAAACGGCGGTGCATTTCTTGTAGGCTTTTCGACAGTACAAATTCCCAGTGTAAAGTTTTCAATTTACTTCATACTGCTGGAAATGTCGTGTGCGTTGAACAAAATCTTGCATACATGTCTATTGTTTCGAGATTCATTGGAGGCCAGTTAAATAATGCTAGTAAAACTGTTATTTTGTCTTCATTGCCGTTCCCGCATGAGTACACGCATGATTACAGTTCCAGCGCTGATCAACCGGACAGCCCGAGTAGAGAGGTGCACGCTGAAGATGCCAATATTCATTGTAGTTTGTGCAAAACGTCGTTTCGAAATGAGCGTTGGTTGCGGCAACACATGAGGCATCTTCATACTTCGGGAGACGATAAGAATTCCAGAACATTCAGTAAACGACTGCAAGAATCAGAGCTACGGAGGAATCCGTGTCCCATGTGCGGAACGTGTTTTGCGACTTGGAGGGTTCTGTTCCAGCATCTGAAATGGTCGCACGGTGAAGAAGCACGTCAACACTAAGAGGAGTGTGGGGACTTTGTCCTGCGAAAATCATATTTGGATCGTAATTTAAGAATTGTACATAGGAAGCACATGTGTGATCAATGCGGCCGAACCTTCTCTCGATTAGATATTCTCAGGAGACATGCTGCAAAGAAGCATGCCAATCACCGGGACGACAAACGATTTATTGATGAGAAACAGACGGATTAACTACCACACCCACAAATTTATCGTAGGTGTGGACGCTCGATGTAACTTTCTGTTTAAAACCCATCAAATTTCTATCGTCTAGACTGGAACTTGGTTTATTTCTTTTTTTGGCTTATGCTTGTGAGCTACAGTCCACATAATTTGGAAGCTGAAAAAGATCCGATACACTCTGTTTCTGTTTCGTTTGCGAACATGATGGAACCTGCAGTGTACAATAGGGTTAAGAGCGAAATGGCGGGACGAGAATTGAGAGGTCTTGAAATTTATCAATAAAACCCAGCATTAAACTTATAGGGAATTCCGTTTTATTGGTGCCTGAAATGGCACAAGTCAGAAGGTTGCCCATGGGGAACGTCGAATCTACCTGTGTTAGGGACACACGTGCGCGCACAGCACGTGATAACCAAGTTATTCGAAATTGCGCGTGAAAAGTTTGTCGAAACTGTGGGAAATACTCGGAACCGATTGAGTATCCATCGTTTTCGATAACGTTTGGTCTAATTTGGTTGAGCATGTTAAGATGAGGAAATTCGTGAGCGATTGTAAGTGAATATGGTTTACATGAGGTAAACACAGGAATCAGTGTGGTCAGCCAGGAGAAGGGTTGGACCGAGAGAAACGAGGAACACTCGATGATGAAACTGGTGTCCTCCGTGCCAACTGAGAATAAGCTTCGATCGTAGGTCAAAGAATGCAACGGAATTTCGATATTCCATTGAATCAGCCAGAAATTCTGCAGTCCGCCCAACACAATACACCATTCGCTATCTGACGGTGACTTCAACGTTATTCCTTTTATATACATGGTCTATCTACCCAGTCAAATAGGCTCGGTCAGTGGACAAAATCTTGGCGAGTTTCCCTCGTTTGTCTCTAATCAATCACCAGTTAGGCTCCCAGAATAAAATATTCGACGTATCATGCATGCCGCTAATCATCGTTCAAACATAGTAGCCGCATCGCGTGGTCACGTGTTGATGGTCTGCTCGATTGACAAATTCTCAGATGAGGCGTCCAGTTATGTGAATAATTTCACTCGTTTTTGCTAAACATCGATTATTTGTATGGCTCGTGTGACAGTCCTTCAAAAAGACAGGTCCAGTCATGTGATTGATTTCATTCTCTCTTGCTATTTACTGACTACTGATACGGCGTTAGATTAGCCGTTGTGCACGAAGTATTGATCACTGACGTGAAAGGCCGTCCATATATATATGTTCACACATGTTGTATGGATTATTTATGGTGGAGTAGGGTTTCCGAAGGAGCCGTAATTAAAGCTTGCTACTTTAAGAAACAAAATACACGAGAATTGTATAACACATGTTCATAGAATCCAAAATTTATAGATTCCGGGACTGCTTGGCTTTGAATTCAAAACTTTTTCATGTGGGTGCAATGGTTTCAGATTTTCTGGAATCCATCCACGTTCTATAAACATGCTCTGACGGAATTGGGACCTCCAGAATCACGTCTTGATGCGCCTTGGATGCGCGTAAGGATTTACCGACCAAATTGGTTCGACAAGTCAAGTATTAAAGTTCATGAGATAGACGCAGTAAACAGCAGCACACAAGCGAAGTGTTTGACCAGTGGACAGGAAGTACACTAACGATCTTCACTTTAAACGGTTCTTCAAAATAGAGAAAAAGGAATTCCACTGTCTTTTCGACGCACAATGTGCGACAAACTGGAGGTCCTCTGGTTGCATTATATTACAAGTTCAAACACCATAAGTTGTTTGAAGCTCTTTGGAAAACTTATTTTTCAAGTGGAAGTACAAGAAATACTAATTAAGTTTTAAAAATGGTAAACTGTTACAGATATAACGGCTTCTTTTTCTCCGGGATGTCAAACTTACAATCCCTCATGTTATCAGAAATCAACAAGCAGTTCAAGGGGAAGAATTATTCACACGAGGAATTTCAAAAGTTCATTTGTGAATCCGTCTTCTGAGGAGTCAGAAAACAGGTGATCGCCTGAGCTGCATTCCGCGGCCGAAGGATGAGTGTCCCCAGTGAATTAGACCTGTGATAAGTAGCTCGTGGTCGAACGGGGGAGTAGAGAGGTGAACTACTGTAAAGTGCTTCCGGGGCAGGTCAAAATCTTGACAGGTACTTCTTCTCTTTTCTGATTTATTGCAATTCTCTCCGGTGGGACTCTTTAGGTATGTGATGGACATTCATTCTGTTTAAAGTTCAGATTACAAGCACGGACAGCTGCAACGACATGTTCAAATGTCCACAACCAGTAAAGGATTTCAACAAGGAGTACATACCACGAATGAATAGACTGACTCATGGGTTCAAAGCAGTCTATATATCCATAAAGGAAACTCCTCACGAGTTTGCTGAAAGCTCCTCGATAGCCCATGACGGCTTCTCCGTACTTGGGCTCATTAGGTAGGCGCACTCTCCGAGTTTCCTCCAACCTAACGTTCTCCTTCAACCCAAATTGAACTGTTTTCGAGAAAACACCACTCGTTTGATAATCACTTCGGTTTACACGAGACTCAACTGAATCTCTCGTTTATGGCGTTCTACAACTGAATGTGCTGCACACAGGCCGTCTCGTGTTTCTGTTTGCACGATTTTCGAGATATCGCCGTATATTTTTGTGAAGAAAACTACTCACAAGGTTTGGAACGAGTAATATATGAGGTGTCCTGCTGGATACTCGGACTTGCCTGGCAGGACAGGTAAACTGCGTATTCGATTGATATTGATGAATTCACTACAGACACTACATCTCAGCTGTGGAATCTCACCGCGTCGGTGGTTCAACAAGAAGATAACCAGACTGATCAGCTGACGATGTCATGTTTATAGTTCAATAAATTGGCGTGAAAAAACGCACCCATTTTCCCGTCGTACCGCATCAATGAGCTTGCCTATCCGGGTAACCTAGTGACATATTCTGATGTGACAAATCCCTTTCACTAATTTCCATAGAACCGGAAGGAGTTTCCTACTTTTGACCAAATTACTCACTTTTCCCCCAGCGATTGATTGTTATAAAGATGCGGTGTGTCTCTCATTGAAATCCAAAGCCTCCAAGATTTCACCAGTAGTCGTGTGGAATCAACGACCCAAGCGGATTGCTTCAAGTAGTTCTTAATCTTTAACCTGTTACAACCAAGTGGCCAATAAAGCAAACCGTTGTTCCTTCACAACTCTCTCGATTACTTTTTGACACGTGTCGTAAGATCACACGGATCGAAAATTTCAGTCCACGCCGTCAATTTTTGGGTAAAAGACGGGAAACATAATCACCAAAACTCTGCGTCTTCTAACGACACGCAGTGGCATTCTGAAATACTCCGTAGACGTTTGGATAAACGCCGGGATTATGCGTATCACGGGATTTGAAGATGATGCTGAATGACAGCGAGGAACAATTCGTGACGGTCTTGTTCTATTTTAATAAGGTCCGTTTCATCTGTTCGTGGAACAATAAAGCTGATCTGATATAAACGGTTCATCTTACCACCGAAAACGCAAACGTGCGTGTAGATTTGCCTTCGTCCATTCACACGATTCATCGAAATGGGAATATCCCAACATTACAATGCTGTTTTTCAGTTATCAGTGGAACAGAGAAAACACGGAGTGCACTCGGAGTTAACGAAATGAAAAGAGGGCTGAATTTATAAAGAAAGTTTTCAAGACGATAAATGGGATTCAAACGGGACTAGTTTCATTTTAGAACGCCCAGTGTTATCACTCTGTGGATCGGGAGATTTCGATAAGTAGACAAATTTTGAGTCGTCCGTAGGGGCAGTTTCCTTTATCAAAAGGCCTGGGGGAAACGTAAGTTTTTATCAGCATTGCAATCGTAATACATTACAGGGAACTTCGGAATGCCTGAACTTATGGATTTTGCGTCAGCGGTGGCAAATCGATTGTTTCACCACAACCGACTGAACCCTCTGACTGCGTAACATCACATGGCGAGTTTACAAAATACCTCCGAATGAGGACACTGGGAAACAAGCTGTAGGATCTATCGCGGTCTCAATAGGACTCAGATGATGACTAAAATGCTCATGCTGGATGATACTCGATCTGAGGACAATGCATAGACAACTAGAACACAAGGTTGATGGAAACCCGGGGACTGCGCCTACCTGATGAGCCCCAAGAAGGGCGAAACCGTTCGTGGGCTGTCGATGGATTTTCAGCAGCCCTATGAGTAGTACACTACATCGATCCTCACCAGTCTAGTGTTGAATCTAACTTGACCTTACGATAATTCCCCTATTCATTTGATTAATCCGTCTTTGTACTTTTGATCTCTGATTGTTTTTCTTATTCGTACCAACCACCCGCCTTGCCGCAGAGGCCGTCCTCCTTGACATATGTGTGTTGACATGTGTGTCTTCTATGGGGGAGAAGGTCGGTAGCTCAGGTAGCGTAGATTTTCGTCGTCTTGTTCGCTGAGCTGGACAATTCGGTTTCAAACGTTTCATCACCAATCGAGTGGTTGTGCACAACCGCTAACCCACCGGTACGCGCAACTACGCATTGATGATGTCACCCCCATTGGTGGTGAAACATTTGCAACCAAATTGCCCAGCTCAGCGAACAAGCCAACGAACACATGTGTGTCTGTGTGTGAATGTGTGATGCTGACCCACTTACTCATATGAGTCCATGTCCCGTTTGCTCAACCTGACTTGGATTTTCAGCAGCGCTTTGAGTACAACATTACAAAAAGAACTGACTTGACCTGTTTTCTCATGGGTTCCGCGTGATCGCACGTCCAATGAGAATCACGAGGCCGTCGTCGGAAGGAACGACGGCAACCTACGCTACTCAGCCATCATCCCGCTCGCCGTTATTTGGTGTGCGGACGTTGACACTACATTGTGCCGGTCAGTGGCAGACCTGAGAACTTGTTGACGCTACGAACGTGAACAGATGTGGTTTGTTGTACACAATTTCTTACCCCCGTGTGAATACCGTAGGATTACGAACCCAATTCTTCCTTTTAATATTCGGGATTGTCTAACCTACGCGGCACTCAAAGTTCCGTATCGGGAACATGGCTGATTGGATACACACCACCTTTTGGTTCTCCAACACCCGCCCCCTAAAAACCCACACACACACAGAACAACTTCGCCTATAGAAGATACTCATACTCAGGAGGGGATCTCATGGTATGTCTGTGGAGCTCTTCCTGCCCGCCAGTCTTCCAAATTTTCTTCTGTTCAACCAGGTGTGAAACCGCCCAAGGAGCCAGCCTCAAACGAATGCCATTCAAATGTTATCCGAACCCTTCGAGCAAAGCTACGTACCTAAAGTAGGACTGACACGCTTCAGTAAACTGTTTTTACCTTGCTCCAACTTAAAGATTACTCATCAGGTGAGCGGAATACGGTTTTCGGAGTATACACAATATAATCAGTAGTATTGTGTGACTCGGTTGGTCTTCCGTTGTCTTAACCTGTCATTATTTATACACACACACCACCTCAAATGTCTCCCAATGGCGTGCCTGAAGAACCCTGAAACTGAGTGGGCTGGCGAGCCAATTAACATATGCAATTTGACCATTCGAACGATGTTCTCTCGCAGAGAAGCCAGAATGTCAAGATTTTAAACACTTGAAACTTGAATTTCGTTTTAGATCGATAATGAAGTAGTTGTGGAAGGCTTGCCAAATTTGTTAAGCTTATTATAGCTTTAATTCAGGAATGAAATCACGAACGAATACCTGAAGTCATCGCGTCATGTGTGAAAAATATTTTCAAGGCAACTGAATAGCAATCGCAACATGGAGAGACGTTAGCATAAAATCAGTTTACCTCCTTTAATCGAGCTTTCTACCTATCACGTTTTTGAAATTTGTTTATTTTTGACGTTGGTATTGAGTCAAAGAATATATCGTTTGCTTGAATGAGCGGCTTTCCCCATGCAACCGCAAATTAAAAGCAGGCTTTCTACTTCAACTTTACATAGACAAGTGAATCAAATCTATACTGTGACATTATGTAATATACTATAATAAACTAAAAATACAATATAGTAATATGCAATATACTGTATCATAATTTAATGTATTTACTGTAATATGTTATTGGATGTTAGAAGCCAGCCATAGTAAAACGGCCAGTTAACACGTGAAGACTCCTGGTACTGCCGAAGCAATACGCTCCGATTTGTACGCCCCAAAAGATGAGTCCTCACAAAGTCAAGGGTGCTCATGGGGTTAAGAACGTTGATACACACCTACCCAGTCAACTAACTCGGAACTAATCTTCTTCCACAGACATCTTCGCAGATAAATTCCAGTACACCTGAGTGGTGTAGAGGTTACTCATCAGATCACGCGTCACAGACGCTCAAACCACGTAACCATTCCTGTCCCACTTGCAACTTTAGCTGACAACCTGTACACTGCGAATTCTTATCAATTTTTGTTTATGTGGCTACCACTTGAGCAACGCGCCAGGCTTATGAAATTCAACATACGGGGTTAAGTTGTATTCATGTTCTTGCAAGCATCAAACCCGAAGGGACACCCACCCACATCACACACAATAAGAAGGCATACCACTAGGCTCAGCACACACTCGCGCGCAGCGGACAGTAAGTCGACAGAGCTCCGCAAGTCTCCAGGACTAACTACGGAATACGCGTAGCAGCCCTACTGCAGAGAATACGCGTCTCGCGTCCGGAACTTCACTCAGGAGCTCTCGGCAAGTGTCATCAAATGATAAGTCACTTTTTGGCTTATTCTACTTTTCACATTGTATCAATTTTTATCAAGTGTACCTAACCGTTGTATTCATCACATTCTTATAAGACGGACATTTGTTAGTGCCTGTTTCCTTCTGATAATCAACTTAATTACGTCACGACTAGAGCACTAACAATTGGTGAGCCCGACGCGACCCTTATACCATGTCAGTTTCTCCGGTAAAAGATAATTCCCCATCTTCAGTCACATCAACACCCAACACTGACAACACCTCTGTTCATCTTCCACCATTCTGGAGTGATCTGACGAGTGACCCCTACAGCAGTCATATGGAAATCGATCCGTTCATGAACCCGGAAGCGTGCAGTTGTCCTTGAGTTCGATAATCCGGAAATAACGTCATTATTCGTCGCTCTTAGTTTGAAGCAAGTGAACCCTGTCGCCAAATGGTTAGTCTTGTTTCGAACAGGTGAAAACTATTCAACAACTAATCCTGAACAATGTCTGTGTCAAACTTAATTCCTCAAGTAGGATACTACATTAGTGGCTGCTACAGATACTAAAAACATTGGTCTGTACAACAAAACTTCAAGCACCTTTTATCCAGCCTTCCATCTGAAACGCAAACTGGGTTCAGATATACACCGATTTCTTCTATTCTCATAAATGTGCCGTTGTGGTGGATAGCTGAACAGGCAGACCAAACACTTCACTTTGGTGGAAGTTGTGCCTGGCTACAAAATGTTGTCAGGCATTTGAGATCCCACGGAGTATGTCATACACTATGCACCACGTTGACTACGCTGCAAATCTATTAAATGTCGAAGAGTATTCAGAAACTTTGCGAGTAATTTCCTTGATGAAAACATACTGCGAAATCTCGAATATCGTGCCAACTGAATCATGAGGCGGTCTGTGTGCAGCACATTCAGTTGTAGAATATCATAAACGAGACATTCAGTAGAGTCTCTCGTGAACATATAATTGGTTTGCAATGTGTGTATTTGTCGAAAGCCATCCATTATTCATCCAATGACGCGGTTGCTTGCGGGATTATTTTTGTCCACATTCCAACTGTTCTCCGCTGATCTCGAGCCATCCTGATATGACATAGGTTTTCTAACGGGTTCTCAAAATGACCGGGAGTTTTGCTCTTATTAGAGCTCATCAGCCTATCCTCAGCTGCTCCTGGGTATGAACTCAGGAAATCTGGCATGCAAGGCGAAAGTATCACGACAACTCAAATAGTTAATGGGTCACCGTTCGTGGCGTCGAGACTGGCACCCAATTCACCCAAAAATGAATTCAAGGATTTCACGGATTGATCCACAGGATCGAGGCTTTCGCCCAAGTTTCCCGGGTCGGTTTTGTTCTTGTTGGTCAGTGGCTGTCGTTCACCTGAAAGGCACAAGTGAAAAAAGGGTGTGTCACTGCTCTTTATGTTCTCAGCGCGGGGCAGTATGCTCGCCAACGCGAGGATTCGCATAAATAAATGTCTAATAGTGTTTTAAATTGGGTTCGAGAAGGAGCGTG